CGTATACGATATCTTCACGAGCGATGCTATATAAGACGACCATTAATAAAAACGAGATCATCTTTCTTTCTCTCTCTCTCTCTCTCTCTCTTTCTCTGTCATCGGTGCAAGCGCAGGAAAATATATATAATAACGTCGATGGCACAGAGAGAAGAAACACGTTGACGAGTATCAAGGCGATATATTGTCGTGCCGTTCTCCGTGCACTATTCTCTCTCTGTTTCGCTCTGCACGATCGCGAAGATGCCATCTATGCAAATGCGGCCGTGAAAGTCTTTTTTTGCCTCTTTCTTTGGACGAGTGACGAAAAAAAAGGCGTAGAGGAGCAAGAGAGGTAGAAGGAGAAAACGAGCGCGTGTTTATCGCGCGCTGCTCGTGCGTGCGTACTGCCTATACCTCCACGCATGGTCGGGAAATTTTTCGCTGGTCTTTTGACAAGTTGTTGAAAAAATGCGCGCGCGTATCCCTTTCGATGTTAATCGCACGTATATGTACACGAACACAAACACACTCGACATAGTATGTCAACTTTAATAATCAACGCGGCCGTTAGCGCGGTTCTCGATTTTCCGCTGCTGCTGTTGCTTTTTTATATTACACACACACACACACACTGGAAATTAATCATGCTCATTAACCGATCGACGGATGCTGCTGTGCTTCTTTTTTTCTTTTTTTTTCGTGAATTATAAATATACATCTCACGGTGAGCTGATCGTCGACGTATATAACGAGGAAAGTCTCAGTCGTATAGTCCCAAACTTCGTATATATTTTATTTTGTCTACTTTTATATATTGTATACTGCGAGGCTCATTTATTTTGACTGCCCTCGATCAAATATTTGCAGGCCTCGGCTATATGATAATTCAGTAAAAACTCCGTTGGCAAGTCTTCAAGACGATTCTCGGAGCCTTCTTCAAATCGCATCAAATATAACATTCGGCGTACCATCAATTTGAAAAATTGCTCGTATCGTCAAATTGTGTACGAGTATAGCTCTAACGTCATTCGTCTGAAAAAAAAGAAAAAAGAAAAAAAAAGAAAAAATATGGCAATACATTCGGCTCATTGGTATTATGCATATTCGATTGGTAATTTTTTACCTCGAAAAATCTTTGACAGTTTAATTAACTCGTCCGGAAAATGTATGACAGCCGCCGCCGCGGCGCAGCACCGCACGTACTTACACACACACACACATATATATAAGCGCACAATATAACTTGTGTAAAATACCGATCCAGCTCTACACACATCGGTAGCGGCAGTGGCAGTGGCGTCGCGCGAGCAAAAAATGTTGAAAAAATTCCTCTCACAAATATATAGATATATGTATATCATTTGCTTTCTTGCACCATGCCTCAGCACGCTCGCTCGCTGCTCTCTCGCGGAAAATTCCATTATAAAACGTGGCTCGGATGTATGCTGCTGCTGCTGCTGCTGCTGCTGCTACGCCGAAGAAAAGAATAATCGCGCTCGCGACCAGCAAAGGCTCGTCGTCGAGAACTGGAGAGAAAAAAATAAGGAGAGAGAGAGAGAGACAATCAACGACGCTTGCATACGTGATCAGCGCCAACGAGCCCGGGTCTTTATCTTCCCGGGGTTTTTTCTTCTTCTGTCCTCTTCATCTCTATATCTATAATACGCACATTGTAAAGCGTCGTGGCCAGCAGCAGTGGTTAATAATATTGGGCATTCGCTGCACGTAAGACGACAATAGCGCGTATAATGATCGTCGTTTAAAAAGAGAGAGAAAAAAACATGAACGCCAATAAGAAGGGGATGAGAGAGTAAGCATCGTGTGTGTGTGTATAATGGATTTCGAGCGAAAATTGACGCACGTGGAAGAAACCAAAACGACCGTCGACTATATATATACACGACGACGTTTGGAAAATTGGGAAGTGCGCGCGATCGACGACGACGACTACGCGCGAGGACCGTCCTTCGCGTGCGATGGAGTTGCTGGTAGTGGTGGTTCGTTAAAAGAACGCACGCACACACACATACACACGCGGACAAGACAGACAATTGATCGTCGTAACGATAAAGATGACGACAGATGGTAATGATAATTTTCAATGACGAATTTGTCTCCTCTTTTGTCGTTCGATCGTTTCCAGTCGCGAATGTATAATATACATATATTGTTCGCGTCTTCTTTGGGATTCTTTTTTGTTTGCGTCTGCACACCGCGCGAATCAAAGCAAAGTCGCGCAAGCTCGCGCCGAATCCTGATGCATCGCTCAAACATCTGCACCGTTCGAGCGACAATAATATTTGTGTGTCGTAGTTTTTTTAATCTCTCTCGAGCCTATGAACGCGTGAAAATTTCGTTTTCGAGTCGCTCGAATTCCTCGATAATTCGAAAATGCATAATAACATAAAGCTCGAGGTTAATCGGCGAGTCTGCTCACGTGTACACACGTGTTATATAGAACGTATAGACGATTGATACAACACGAAGAAAAATAATTTCGACGCGAGCGTTTATTTATTTGGAGTCACGTGTGCGTCGCATTCGAGTCGCGGTGTGCATACAAAACGAAAAACGATACGCTGCAGTTTTTTTAAGCGTCGCTAGAAAAGTATATAATAATAATAATAATCATAACGAGTCAACAGCAGCTTGACGCGCAGTGTATCGTTTTCGCGGAGAAAGTTTCCGGTGTGTCGCGATCTACACGACAGTTCGCTACCTATTTAAGCTTGGCGACCTGTCATCGTCGTATACACACGTCTTGATAAGCAGTTCGTTATAATGTATATACGTACGTCGGTCTCTGCTCTCTTATACTATATACGATATACAGCAGAGGCTGTGCTCGTGGCGCACGTAAAATATAGTTTGTCGAATATTGCCGATCGCGCGACGTCATGCGCAACCAGTTTCGACGAAATAATTATTATATTTTTCGCGAGTGTATGGATAAAAGCGCGCCATCGGCAACTATATCGAAGCAAGGTCGACGAGATGAGCTTCTCTCTTTCGTGATACGCTCGTATGACTGCGGTCGGTCGACTCGGTTTTCGTATTATGAGACTCGCGGTGACACGTGAAAATTTTGTCACGCATACTTATACATATCACAGGTTCGCGTCAACGCCGGCGCATAGCTGCAGGCCTACGGTCGAGGCAAATTCTTCTACTACTGCACGGATGAGCATGCATTTTTGCGCAATTTTTGTGCGTGTGTATTGTAAAAGGCACGCTCGGCCATTAGCTTCGACACGTCTCTATAAAGTTGCGAAATATTTCGTACGTTTATACCGATTAGAGACGTTCCAATCAAGAGATCCTTGCGCAATCGCGTCCGCGCACCGAAAAAGAATCTGCATTTTTCATCCTTCGCCGTACAAAGATAGTAATAATCCTTTCTCGGGTAAAAATTCCTCTTCTTCTTGTCTCGGGCTTACATAAAACTCGCTGCCGCTGCTGTCTTTAATAGTTCTCGTCGTCGTCTTCGTCGTCGGCGACCACGAGCATTATAAGCCGCCACCACCAAGAAGAGTGCATCGCAGGCACGTATAACCACACGTCCAAAGTCCGTAGGCTGCCACACAGAGATGTACAACTACTACTGCTACGAGTTAGAAAGCTAAAGGCCAAATTGCAGGACTGTATGCGCGCGGCAGAAGAAGAGAAAACTTCTTACTACTACCATATAATGCTCGAAAAGCGATACGCGCTACGACGCACATAATCGCGCGGCGCCCGCGTACCAACCGAATGGTCCCATGCGCGTCATGCGATTGAGTAATTTGTTATACACAATGGGCTACTCGGTCTGCATATTTGTTCGAGCGAGATTGGGGACTTTTTGCGCGAGTTACGTCGTGCACTGCACGATTCGCAATGTTGGATGTATAGGAAAGAGCCAGGAAGTAAAGGTGACTTTTCCGATTTATAACTGCGACGCGCGCAATCATCGATTATGCTCCGATGATCGTCGCAAGCAATAATACAACGATTTTCTTTTTTTTTTCTCCGCTCGCGACACAATATGACGATGATGCGCGCGTAACTTACTTTGCATAAAGATCGCACCGCAGTTCGTCGTGTAATTATCGACGGCTCGAATGGACACACATAAAGCACATAACGTTGTATTATTACTGAACGACGCGCGGAAAAATGTCGTCGACGAGTACTCGACGCGCAGAGTCGAGTCGAATTTTTCGCATACGTCCATATAGACGTCGTTATTATACACGCACCATGAACTTATGTTTACATAAAACGTATAAAGTTTTACAAGTAAATTTGCGAGTGGGGCTAATTGTCGTGCTGCTGCAGGGAAAAATGATCGAGATAGTAAAAATGTTATATATCCACCATATGGGGCAGTAAAATTTGCACTTGCTTTTCCCCGGCGCGGCAATTAGCATATATTTGCTGCGCTAGAGCGGAGAGCACTTTCCGCTATCTCGGAAGCGAGCTGCTGCCGCCGACGACGACGAGTATGTGTTTGTAGCGCAGCAGCAGCATCTGGAAAAGCTCTGCTACTGCTGCTGCTGCTATATAAATTGCCTCGTCTCGCGCCAGTCCCTCGTTTACCTTGATTTATAAACTCTCTCGCGCGAGAGAGGAAGACGCGGATCGAAGATACAAAAAAAAGAAGAGAGAATAAAAATAAAAATAAATCAATTTTTATTGTGCATATAAAGTAACAAAAAAAATAATAATAAGAGCTTGGCTCGTCGCGCGCGTGTGTGTACAAACAAAGGCGCTCATGATCGTACTGAATCTGAAATTTACAAAGGCTAACGAATTCCTCTATACATGTATAATGCAGTCGAAGGTTAACGTCGCCGCCACTGCGTCGACTATCACATTTATAGTATCCCGCCCGAACCTCGAAGCTTCGCGCCAATACAATAAAACATATAGACCAAAGGTCATTTCTACAAATTGACACAGCACGCACATATCATATATAACATTATATACGTTTTCAACATGACTCTAATCCTCGAAATTTATTTTTTTGCTTCCAGAACGTTCGGTCATATGAAGAAGGAACAAACGCAGTAGCAGCAGCAGAGATTATAACAAGACAAGAAGCTCAAGAGTGTGCGCGAGTGTGTGAGAAAGAGAGAAGATCAGGGCTGGTTTTTCTTCGCTGCGTCGCGGTGTAACGCTGTGCCGCGTAGGTGGGGGAAAAGAGAAGAGAGATAATGTCGTTGTCGTCGACGGCGACGCTCGTGCCGCCGAGGCAACCACTAGCGGAGCTCAATAAGCGGTCAGCGCTCGCGACGCGATGACCGATCGACGACCAATCGAGCTGTTTCCGGTCTAGTGCAGTAGTATAGTTTTGCCGATGCGTAAAACCAGAGCAACGGTCGTCGTTCGAATTTCAGTAGTGTGTTAACCCGCGTGCTACAATAAAGACACACGAGTCTGAGAGCTCGAATTAACGAAAAAACAAAACAAAACAAAGACAATCGTAAAACACAATGAAGTCGTTGGGCGACGTGGTGGCCGAGCCGCCGAAAACCAACAATAGCAGTTGCAATAACAATCGAGCGAGCAACGGCATCAATTCGAAATCGTCGAGCAATAATGGTGTCAGCGCCGGTAGCGATTATTGCATGCAGCTGAGCAGCAGCAGCCGCCGCGGCAGCCTGGACTCGGTCGATCGGCTGAGCCTGAGCAGCGGCAGCACGTCGACGAGCGTCGGCGCCTCGGAGATCGGCACCAGGACTCTCAAGAGTTTAAAGAGGGGCCTCGGCAAATTGTGGAGGCGGCACCGAGGCAACGTCTCCATCACAGAGTACGATCCGACCTACAAAGTCGCCTATCTGGGCAACGTCCTCACCGGTTGGGCCAAAGGTAAGCTCGTCATAATGTATAAAATAAGCTTCTTCGAATTCTCTATGATCTATGTGTGTGTGTGTGTATACGTAGCATTACATCAAAGTGAATGTATACACGGGTCGTATATTAGCCTACGCTGCAGCTCCGTGTAATGCAAGCATTAGGTAATACACCGCGTGTATATATGCATTAATAGCCTCAACTGTATACGTGAAACTCCTTTTTTTTTATATATACAGACGAATTCGTATTATATTATGGAGAAAAGCGCAATGAAATATATGCCATTTAGCTCGCGAATTTTGCCTTGCTTTCCGGAGATTGATGAAATTCGGGCTGCGGTGCGATTGCTCAATGCTGCACGCGCATTATTTTGTAATTGCAGTTACATTGCGCGAGTTTACATGCATTCGCGTATAAGTTGTAAGAGGAGAAGAAGAAAAAAAAAACCCGAAAACAATCGCGCAGAAAATCAAATCGATCGTGTGAATTTTTATCGGTCGTGGCACTCGCTCGTTATCGTATAATACGGCGCACGAGGTGCATTTCATCTTATACAGTCATGTGCAGGCACCGCTTAAATAGCGAGCAGTAAACGATTCTTTTCGGATGGGTCAGAAGCCGATAGTGTGTCACATACGCCATTACGTGTATCGACATTTCTATCGTTTATAAAATCCCAAGTGTCCATCGTGTAATACACGACAATAAACGATGACCGATTTACATTATAGTATAACATTGCAGCAGCTGTGCAGCTGACAGTAGTCGGTCGCGTGCTCGATTATTTAAATGTCCTACATGCTCGTGTATACTATACTCGATGTCGCGAATAGCTTTTGTAATATAATAATGATGATGATGATGATGATTCTCGCATCTTCTTAGAATCATCGATACATTGGCCAAGTTTCATATGAAGACATGCCTCTCTATCGTGGCTTGCACATGCATACACAAGATTATCAGCGGAAAATACGTGAAGATGCATATGCATCCGTGTGCGTGCCGAGACATACACACACCCACACACACAGACTTATATTTGAAACATCGTCGTCGTCGTCGTCGGCGGCAACTGCGAATCGATGAATCATCATCCTTTGTAAATATCGTATTTACTTTATCGAATACATCATCTTACACCGACTCGATCGATTTCGCGAGTACGTACATAATCCTCGGGTGTCTCGCGGCAGTTGGCGCTTGTCACACACGCTCACGCATACGTAATAATGTTAGGATGGAGACAGGCAAATGTCCAAACATTATATCCATCATCGCGGGAACACGCGAATGTATACACACACACGCGCGATACGTGTGAATTTTCGCGCGATTTCATACCGATGGCGCTCGCTAAACTCTTCGTGTCCATTCGTAGCAGCAATACATAATACAATAAACGTGTATAATCTTCGGGCAAATCTTGACGTATCTATCTCTCTGCTGTGTGGATAATATGACAAATCGAGAGCTGTGACAAATGTGTATATTTATTATTATTAAATCAGCGCGCCGATAAAGTCGTACAAACATATAAAAAGAAGAAAAAAAATACGGTAAATAAGCGCTTACGCGCGATTACGCGAGGTAAATTAAATGGAAAAAAAATTACAGCGCTCGAGCCTCTCTCATGGGTTGTTAACGACGATGATGATGAAAAGAGTTTAACAAACAAAAATAAATTCAATTTTTTTTTTATTAAAAGAATAGTAATTTTGCGCGCGATAACGCGATAAGTATATAACGTACGAACGCGCGCGTTCGAATCTTATCGATTTATCGGCTGTATAATCGGTGATTTATTTATAAAATTTACAATAGTCACCGCGTTAACAATAATTGCTACATGTGTTTTATCGTCCGTGTCATACGTATGAGTCAATTAGGATGAAAAATCAATACGAGCTCTTCGTAGCTAGACGCTACGTATCGGAAAATTAATTAATCGCTCGTTTCGCACTTATGGTCGAAATGTGCAGGCATGCGTGAAATGCGTAAAAGCAACGATAAGAGATTTATACATGTTACATATTATTGCTCGAGCATACGTACGTACTTGTATTTAAAAAGTTGCTCTTTCGCGTTTTCGCGCGCGCGCGCGGAAGCAGCAAAAAATTCACCTTTCAAGTATAGCAATGCTACGCGCGCTCACGCCGTGGAGCAAGTTGACTTGTTTCTTTTTTGTTTGTTACTTTGACGTTCATGGGCGTAACGCGCGTGTCAGTCGCGAGAGAGATGCATTGTTTTGTTGTTGCTGCTGCTCATGCTGCTCCAGAGCAAGAGAAAGTGAAAGTTTTTCCGCGCACGCGCTTAAATTGCCGCGTTACGTATCTTTATTTTTAGTTGCGCGCAAAATTTCAAGTGTATTTTCGGACCTGTATGATTAAAGGCAAAAGCTGCTGCTCGCGGGCTGCCCCCTCGAGGGTCCCGACGTGGTATTCCACGCGCAGCCTCATTATTCAACGTCCGCGAGCGAGACGCGATGGAAAATATACAAGTTTCTCACTCTCGCTCGAAAAATAAGGATTTATAAGCCGGAGATTTTTGTAAATAAACATGATGCCTTCAGGATCTTATTGATATCGGATCTTGCATGGCAACATGTTTTTCTTCTGTGCTGTGACTCGAGTCGATAGATTTCAATCGATTTTATATCCATCCGTTTGTTATTAATTAATTTATATAAACTGCTGCAGCTCGGCGAACAATAACAAGCACCGCGTCTATTTTTTTTCTTATATACACACACATCGCTTGCAGGACGTATTTCCTGAAGCAGCGGTTCACTTCCACGTGGAAGCTGGAGCAAGTAAAAAAAAAGTCAACCGGTACAGTCGCTTATCACACACACGCACGATGGAATTTCCTCGTTGCGGCGAAACTTTCTTCCTGATTTTTGCGCAAGCTCCTCCCGCGTGTCTTGACTAACCTGTGCCGCGGCTCGGCTGAAATTCAAGTTTAGACGATATTTTATACGCGTGCTCGAGTTGCGAAAAAACGTAACGTCTCGCGTGCATACAACAGCGATCCGATAAATCCGATTCTCCGTAAAAGCGTATCAATTGGCGCCTCGACGTTTCTAGAGCTACTCGTGCCGCGCGCGACGACTCGTGCACTCACGCGACCGGTCACGCTCGCAATTGATATTATTAAAGTTGCTGCAGCGCAAAGCGACATTTTATATATACAGATGGTAATTTAAGTTGATAGACGCGACGTGGATATAGATGAGCGTGGCACAAGACAGACGATCTTCTAGAAAATTTTGCGCGCCAAAAAACCCAATAGCGCGGGAATATCGGAGGACGAGGAAACAAAGATAATGCAACGATTATAATCGTCAGGGGGAGAATGACTGACTGACTAATTGAAAAAAGTCGTTGGGAATTTGAATCGCAAATCGGTAAATGCAATTCGTTCTATAGCGATGCAACGACACGTGTTGCGTGGACACCCTCAGCTGCAAAATTGTGCGCGCGATGTTGTCAATCGATACACACATACGGGAAATCCGGCGATGCGTTACGCGAGAATAATTAAGGCCTCAAACTCGCTCTATCGAGCTTTCATTCGGTTCTCGTCGGTACAATTTGTAAATGATGCGGTAAAATATTGCTATAAGGACGCACGAGGCGTGCTATTTGTTCGCTTGTATAATTCAAATACATAGCCGTCAAAATGAAAAAAAAATGAGACAACGAGTATTATTAATCAATTTTTGCGAAGCAAAAAACGCTCGATGAATAACATCGACACGATTATCTTTCTCTAGTGACACATTTCTCGGTTTAAAAGCTCTCTACGTACTATACCATTACGCAATCGCGTCGGAACCTTGGTAAAAAAAAAAAACTAACCGCATATCGATCAATTAATCAACGATCGCTTGACGCCGCTGCTCGTGCACTGCTGTACACTCGCGCGCGCACGAGTTTCTACCATTTCGTTTTCCTCCTCCTGCTCCTCTGGGGAAAAGTTTTTGTCATTTCCAGCGACGTCGTGCGGTGAATAGTTCATCATCATCGGCCGCTTTGCTATATAACGGCGTCGAATGAATAGCGACTCGTCAAGGGTAATACGTATGTATATATAACGCTCGCGCTTTTCTCCCAATTAAAAGCGAAGAAATCGTGCGAACGGCTCGTTACCTAAAAAAAAAAAAAAAAAAAACTGCACAGCATCCGCAGTGCAAGTTTTTTTTTGTTTTCCTCTTCATCGAGTTTGGGCCTTATACTTGCAGTGCATGCGGTACCGAAGATCGGGTGGCGAGGGGGGAATACCTCGCGAGTACGTTGACCGTGGAGCTACTTTCTCCCGCGCGCGGATCGGCTTTGTGTATATATTTAATGCACACACACACACACACACGAGCCAATGCGGAGGCTTTTAAAGTCTGTGTACAGATATCTATAGTAGTACCTACTCACGATGCCGCCGCGCAAAATAGAGAAATTTAGAGGCTGTTCCTATCGGGGCCTGTTAATTGCCTGCTCCTGTTGCTGCACGCAGTTTGATGAACTCGATGGCTGCAAAATCGAGGTAGAAAAATCAGTGCTCCTATGGACTCGCGTTAATTGACCATTTATTTACGACGATCGCTAATCGGCAAGTTTCGTACATATGAAGTTGACACACGCGCGCGCAGCTCGGATAAGTTCCCGGTATACACGCGCAGCAGCTTGGACACACACATATATTTTGTAATCACGCGGGATGGTTTATGCATGTGTGCTGCGATTTCGCGTCAATTTCCGTTGTCGGCCGTGCGTAATCGAAATCGGTATACGATCTTCGATTATCGCGAAACTCGAGTATGATATACACATATACGCAACGACGTGATCGCGAGTTGCAATAATTTTCCAATTACTTATATCTTTTTTTCCATATCTTAAAATAGTACACACAGTACGATCGTCTTTATCGTGATCGAATTAAGGAAACTTTTAGCCGTACGAGAGAGCTTTATAGCAAAATTTTTTTCTCGTAATTACGATCGCCGATAGGCGTGTAATAATATTATAATATAAACAGCACAGTATAGGCAGTAACAGGCAGGAAAGTAATAATAATAAGGTGCTGTACGTACGCACGTGTTTAAAAACATCCGCGTTATAAGTCTAAATTTAAACTAGGAGTCGCGATGTAAACAAACATTATACGTATCGAGCGCGACGCGAAACACATTATTGATAAACGATCATGATCGAGCGAAGCACGTGTATCCCGACGTACGCACGAAACACGTCGATCCTCGGTTATATTACACATACACAGCATGGCCATGACATTTTCTCGCTACTCCGCGTGTGTGCACACGAGGTGTTAGCGCAGTGCGCGTGTCTATGATATATAAACGTAAATGTCATTTCCTCGTGCGCTACCGGGCGATGTTTAGAGATCCGAAGCAACTATTATAGGCGGGCATCGCTGCGTGCACGCGTCAAAAAAGCACCCAGAGGCCTCTAATAAACATCGATGAAAAATCGGCGGGATCATTGGGAAGTTACGCGAGCGCCTCGAATTCCACCTGCGCGCAGATTTTCCGCGTGAACTTTTTCCCATGGTATAATACGCGCGAGCTGTGCATACAAGCAGCAGCAGCGAGTCGAGAGTCCGCTTATAACATGCGAATGGCGATCAAGCGCCACGATAAGGCGCGCGCGAGCTCCAGTGTGTGCATGTGCGTCGATAGTATATAGGTACTACATGCAGTCAGGCAGGCAGGCTTTGGTTATAAGATAAAGCAAGGGAAAAAAGTCAACGCTTGGACGACGACGTCTATATAGCAAGCGAGAAAAGTACATAAAATCACGACATTGGCGCCTTGGAGAGTATATACATAAGAGCATTTATCAGCGCGCCAATAAAGGCCGCGTCCCCTCGGCCCTCGGCTTAGCTCTATCTCTAAAAGAAAAACTATAAAGAAAAGTCTTACACGACGATGGCTTTTCCACTGCAACACACACGTACATACGTACATATACAGCACGTAACGTTCGCTTTTATTTCCGATCGCGATCTCGAAATGGCCTGCGCACTGCAGCAATCGAGAGCCGCCGATACGATATATATATGGGGGTCCTGCACCGTGTATACATATGGCAGTTCTATACGTGTGTGGGCACTTTCCCGTGCTGCTGCGACGCTGGCCGCACCGCCGCCGGCAGCAACAGTCGCGCTTACTTATGTGTAGCGTGTGTATATAATATATCTGCATCGCTTCAGGCCATATACTCATTTCACGCTGCTGCAGCTCTCGCGCTCACTGCTCGTGTATGTATGCTGTGCGCAGGTATTTAATGTGCATACGACTGAGAAGGACGTCAACCTACATTCGATCGACTTTCCAAGAGGTTAATATCGAAATGCGTGATGGTATTTATACCGTTTTATAATGCGCGAGCGAGCGAGAGTCGCAATGACGCGCTTATTGGCATTTTTTTCTAATATATCATATACCTGTATACGCTAAGTTCTTCGATCAATTGTATATTGAAGCTCGATTCTTTTATTTACTACGTAATATGATAATAATGTACACGGTGAATATGCAAAACTTTGGATCTCTCCGTTTGTTAATATCGCATATATATACGTAATACTCACGGGGCCGTGAATAATTTCTTTTATTACATTATATTACTCGCGTCGCATTAAATTAAATACAAATAGAAAATAGTTGCGTCATAAGTATACGTATATATATGAGCGTCGATAAGCATCTCGCTCGTTGTGTGTTGCTGCTCTTCGCCGCTGCACACACACACACACATGATGCACTTGACTCGGGGAGTCGAGTTGCGCTGCGCGTCCGACTGTATATTACACACACATCTAGGTGGGATACAGTTAATTTAGCTGCCAACTGCAAAAAGAGATTCTCGCACCTCCACTGCTGCTACCGCCGTGTGTTTTTATCGTTTCTTATCTAATGTATCGAGTGTGTGCGCGTACGTCATTTTACACGGCTATCGGAAAAAAAAGGAAAACAAATCGCAACGATGATTGTATCAATGAGTGCATATAAAATAAACGTTTTTATATGGAAGGAAACGCACGAGTTGCGATCGGTGTATGTGTGCAGTCGGCGGCGCACCTGCGGTCGCGTCAGCGTCAGCCTGTGACGTTTTTTTTTTGTTTTATATTTAATTTATTAACGCCTTTTTTTTCGACTCGTCGCGGATGGCATAGATTATCAAGACCAAACATTGACTGCCTGCCATTATATCCTTAAAATTTTTATACTCGCCTCGCGTCTTTATTTGCACGCGAGACTATAAACGTAATCGTCGCGCGTTTTAACGACTTTTTGTGTTACGTGTATAGCGACGAAATTTTCGAGACTCTAATTGGTCTCGTCCGTGTGCAATAAGTCGCGCGATCAGCTCTGTAAGTTTTTTGCATTGATAAAAGTGTCATGGATTAATGATTACGCTGACAGTGCAATCGCGAAATGCTTTGCGCTTAGTAAAAATGTTAATTACCTAATACACTATATCCCAGAGACGATCATCTGTCATTTACACACATCAGCACGAAGATGTATTACCACAAAACATTTGTCGTAAGAAAACCGTCGGTTTTCTCGCAGATTTACCTCGTACAACTACGTCGTCGCGTGTGTGGTGCCACACGCCAGTGAGAGAGAGAGAGAGAGAGAGAGACGAGACAAGACAGAGAAAGAGAGAAAAAACGTGAGAGATGTCAAGTGGTCGATAAGAAAACCTATAATCTAAATGCGCAGTAGTTGCCCCGAGAGTGGAGCTTGAACAAACGAACTTTCTGCAGGATGCTGTGTAACGAAACTAAGTAAAAAAATAAGTTCGGCTCTATATTGTACTTGCTCTCTGACCAAGACGACGAAAAATGAAAAGTCATACTCGCGTACATATACATACAATACTTGAGAAAAAAAAAACGAAGTTAATGTGTTTGCTCCTTGTGCACACACACACGTAGTTAATATACGTAGTATATAGGAATGCGGTCGGTATTTAAGACGATTGTTGACCACCTTGAAGGAACTTGCGTGCGAGTGAATGTGTTTTATAGGGACACAATATTATCTTTAATATATTTGCAAAGGCGCAGCAGCAGTGCGCAGGGAGAAGAGCCATATAATATATAATAATAATTGTCTTCCTGCTTCCGGGTCGCGCAAGACGACTATAATATACGGATGGAAATAATATTTTCTCATATTTTTACGTGTGTATGTGTGTATGTGTTGCTCCTCGACCGACCTCGAATGGTTGGTAATATACGTGCTCTCTCTATCTCTCGAGCAGCAGCAATTCAGTGCAAAGAAAATGCGCGAAACGCTCGCCTGGCCGAAAACAACAGGTCAACATTTTATCAGGTGCTTTCTCTTCTCCACGGCAGCCAACGGCAGCAGCAGCACTTGTGCGCTGTGTACGTACGTACGTGTGTACGTTAAGAAAAAGTAAATAACGGCAAAAGTTTGCTGCTCGGCTCGGCTCGTCTGGTGCTCCACTTTGCGCCGTGAACTTCCTCTTTCTCTCTGCGCGCCGCCGCTCTGCTGTGTGTGTGCACTCATGCCTCGAGACTACTAACTATACTTACTGCTGCAGGAACTTGATCCTTCCCCTCTCCCCCTCCTCCTCTCAGCTCCTCTTCCTCCCTAGCCGATCTCTTCTCCTCCTTCTATGCAGCAGCAGCAGCAGCAGCTCCTTGTACACCGACTTTTGTTTTACCTGTTGCGTGTTGATTGCTCTTTCCGGGGCAGCTCTCGCTGTATCTCTATGCGTTATTTAATTGTGCGTTAGGCATGCAGCAGCAGAGAAAATTAAGGGATGTAGCTGGTAGGCGCGCGCGAAATTCTAATGCTCGCCGCAGTGATTTGCGCCGCACTTTTTTTCTCTTCTCACGATTTTACTTTTTGATAAATCCCTCTCTAATTGCTCTTTTTTTCGTTGTTGCTGTTACAGGCGAGGGCTGCGTGGAGAAGCCCGTGTCTACGCTCTGGCGCAATTACGTCGGCAGCAATCGTCCCGATGTGCTGATGCGGCTGACGGTGACGAACGGCGGTCTCACGGCCACGACCAAGGATCACGGCCTCACCGAGTACTGGGCACATCGCGTCACCTATTGCACAGCACCCGCGTCCCATCCCCGGCTCTTCGTCTGGGTATACAGACACGAGGGTAGGCGGCTGAGGCCCGAGTTGCGCTGTCACGCGGCCATCTGCTCCAAAGAGTCGACGGCGAGGAGGCTTGCACAGATACTGAACGCGAGGTTGCATCAGGCACTGCTCGAGTTCAGGAGGGACAAGGTTTCCAGACAGAATGCCAGGTAAATTATTTTACATTTTTACAAAGCTATGGAATAGTTATAAAACACTTGAAGACTCTTAACAAAAATTCACTTTATTAAAATTACATTGACCTTACGTGGAATCATTCATCAGACCTTGTGAAGATAGATAAAAAGTTGAACAATTAAAATGTTTGTATCTGCATTGAGAGTTCAAAAGTCAATCACCTTATCACATAAAAAAGTCTTCAAGTGTTTTATAACTATGATCAGAAATAACTTTTAACGATCGGTTTATCAATTTACAATTCAACGTGTAAGATTTGAAGGAATTTTAGACATTTCCAAACATCTGATCAGTCGATGGAAATTCAAAGACATGCATATTTGAAAGTAGCGTTGCCCATTATTGTATAAACGCGGGATAGTTATTACTTGTAATTGTAACAACATATTCCACGCTCACTCTCGGCTGCAATCGATATTTCAACAAAGTGGAATCGATCCTTTCCACGGATAAAAAATTGCCGATTCAACTTTCTCCCGACCTGACGCGATTTCTCTCGCACAATTACAAGTCATACATAAATCCTCGGCAGTGCTGCATAATAAACGCGCTCCGCGGATCGGCAAAAAAATCGGCAACGCATATAATAACCCAATAAATAATCGAACATCGTTCTCTTACGCAGATTATCGCTGGCCAACGCAGTTTACGAGAACCCGTCGCTGCCCCGGCGAAAGCTGCTGCTCAGCACGGGCGGCTCGAATTACCGTCCGCCGCTCGAGCGTTCGAAGAGCGCCCCGAAGCTGTCGGCGATCGAGGAGGACGCCGCCGCCGAGGAGCAGGAGGGCCGAGCCTTCCTCGACCAGCTGCGCCAGGGCCTCGAGTTCAGGCGCTCGTGCAGCTGGCAGCACGAGCAGGAGAGCTGGAGGCTGGCGCGACTCCTCGAGGCGCTGCAGATGCAGCACCAGCACGCCGATCAGCTGTCGAGCAGCGACGAGAACGGCAGCATATCGAGCGGCTGCGAGACCGCCAGTACGGCCAACAGCGAGGAGCGAGTCTCGAGCAGCGAAGATTCCCACATACCGATCGAGGAGGACTCGCACCTGAGGATGAAGAAGCAGAGCCCGGGCTCGGCGCTGACGGCCGCGATGACGGTGTCGCCGAGGCGCAACAGCGAGGGCTCGCCCGGCTTCATGATGAGCTGCAACGACAGTCCACGGTTCCGTCGGCGGAACTGCCGCGTGTCGAGGGTCAGGTCGCGAAGCAGCAGCAACTATTCGCTCTCGAGAAACGAACCTACCGAAGACGACGAAGAGGAGGAAGAGGAGGAGGAAATGAGTCAGGACGAGACGACGGTCAGTACGACGACCATGACGACAGTTGGCACGACAACGACAACGACGGGTGTCACTTGTACCACCGGCGACGAGAATTTCTTTGACTTTGAAGATCCGGAGGTGATGGACGAGATCGTCGATTTTAGTCCGCAGGGCGAGGGCCATCATCCGCAGTCACCGTCGAGATTACAGGTACGAATCGATTCAAACTCGTAAGATTTGAGGGACTATATTTGAGTGGATGTTTATTTTGTGCTTGTATTATTACAGAACGACAGTTACGCAGCGTTATTGGCTCGAAGAGACGACATGCTGAAGATGATGACGTCTCGCTTGTCGTGTCACAATTCCTGCGACGAACTCGATTCGCCCACCGCACCAATCAGCGATCATCATCGTCCGAGCGACACAACGACCATCAGATCGGTAGCGCCGATCGCAGCGGCGGTCGTCGGCATTTCCAATTTTCACACACTGGGCTCGCTCGACGAGGAGGAGGCCATCGACAGCGACGAGAGCGGCTACGTCGAGGCGTCGCCCAAGAGCTCCATGAACGACGAGGAGATCGTCAAAGCCGAGACGAACAACAACAAAGTCGTGAATAGCAGCAGTCAAAGCCAAAGCCAAAATCGGCAACGCGTCAGCAGCAGCAGCGGCGACAGCGACAACGACAACAACAAGCCAAAGCCAAGCTCGGACTCGGACGATGAACCGGCCGAATTCATCAAGTGTCCGATATCCGAGACGATTAAAAAATTAGCCAACGCGTCGTTGCGTAGCTCGAAAAATATGCGAGTATCTTCGTCGTCGACGTCGCCCAGTAGCAATAATGCCCCCCATTGTCTCGAGTCGCTGAATAGGCTCGGTAGTAATGGCAAACAGGAGGCGACCGATAGCGACGAGCCGCCGACGCCGAGCCTGCTGCAGAGAAAACGGCTTCTGGCCCAGAGAGGCGTCACCGTTTAGAAGATCAAACACAAGTGTCATCGTATAATGAGATCGTGAACTCTCCAGACCGATGTGTGCGTGATGAACGACGAGTCGAATGTTTGTGTCTGTGTCTCATTGTGCGTTTTTCATTTCGTTTATTTAAGCTGTGTTTATCGCTAGTTTTCTAGGCTTTTCTTTTTTTTTTAACATTCTTCCCGCGCAATGGCTTAGTAATAACGACGATAATAAAATTTGATGAAAAAATATCTCTAATTTACGTTTGAAAACGTATTTGCACGCCGAATCTTGTGTAAATTCAGTCCGACTCGATCGAGAGTAATATTATTATCATGTACCTATAGGCGTATCCTTCACCCCCGGGTTGTTACGAAAAAAATATACATATAATAGGTAAATTTATTGATTCACAGATAATGTTAGCCCGTATTATAAATAAGTAACGTATTATTTATTAATTTTTTTTTTTAATTGACAAAATTTGTTCATAACGACGATGTATTATAGCTGTATCGAGAAAACGAGATTGTTTACGTAATAGTAGCCGTCGAAAATAGTTATATATTATTTTTTCTCACGCGTGTGAGAATGAAGTCGTAAAAGAGACGAGCAATTGCAGTTACACACGACGTCCACATGTCTTGCGCCGCTTGTGATAATACAGAGTATTATATGCCACAAAATTGGCTCGAATTTCTTTAATTTGACTGTCGATGATATTGTGATATTGTTTGAGTATGCGAGGCTGATTTGCCTATGTTATTTGTTATAAGTTCGTAGTTCTTATGTACGACGCTAAATTACGTTGAGAGTAAATTTTAGAAGAGAAAAAAATTCAAGTCATGGCGAAGCCGTCCGTCAATTAAAGTTACGCGTTTTTCGCTAAATAGCGAAGGTGACAAGCGGCGAGCGAGACTTTGGCTAGTTGTGCCGCAATGGATTTCGATTCTTATATTTCTTTAATGATATTTTTTTACATTTTGTATATAAATATGGTGTTTATTTCTTCAGTGTTGAAAAAAATAGTCTTTAGTATTATAACACAAAGAAAGAAGTATGCTTCAAATCGTCAAATTTAGAAGTACTTATGTGCATATACGTATTATTAATTATTACTATTAAATGAATATTATGAACATCGTTGAAAGTATATGTATATTATTGTATTTAGACACACATAAACACACACTAAGTCTGTCGTAGATATTTGTATCAATGACAGGCGCCCTTAGCATCAATGGATATTAGGTGTGTTTTTCTTTTCATTGATTCGAATTTGGTGCGAAACAATGATTCCTCGAAAAATAAATAAACTAATAGTTGATAAAATATGTTCTATGAGTTTTTATTTTCGATCTTTATACAATTTCTATTAAGAGTTCAAAGAAAATAGTTCAATGGTCTAGAACACATTCGTTCAAGAATTGTAATGTAAAATATTTATCAATCACAATTCAAGATTTTTTGTTTTGGATACTATTAAAGTTTCTTCCAACTTTTATGAGGATGAATGAAGTCATGAGTAAGTTCTTGACAAATTGCGTCATAAAATACAATTACTATGGAGATTCTGAAACTAGTTCCAACATCAATGTTCAATTTCGATTTTTAATCCTTCAATAGAATATTCCTTTGAGTATATCAAGTTGAAGGGTACCGACGAATTTTTTAACATTAAATTAGTAGAAAACAAACCTCTTCAGAGGTTTTTTCCATGTTTAACGATAACATTGGATTTTAATTCAAAGGATTATCAATAAGAGTTAGGAGAATCGTGAGTTGACAATTAAAGAAAGCTTTTTAGATATTTTTTTTTTCATTTCGTCACTTATTGGTCTGTTTAATAATTTTTCAAATATTAACAGTAGACATGAACTTCAGGGAATAGATAGTCCTAAATAATGTTACTAAAATTCGAATACATGTATAATATCGAAAACTACAAGTTTCCCATGCCCCCAGAATAAAAATTAGCTATTACATTTCACAAAGAATCGGTAAAATACATTGTTTTTATTTTACTCATTTCAAAGAGAACATATTTCATCCGAAAAAGTCGAAATTTGTAGTGTTCGTACGTATCTTTCAATAGTAGTATCTCAAAATCAACATGAAATGAATTTTTGTACTACATTCGATTACTTACCGACTGATGGTAATTATCTTGCTTTGCGAATGTTCCAAAATAGAATTTTTTTCAACAACCAAAGATGGCGCTGCTAACAAGTATATCGTTTGCTGTTACTTCTTTATGGGAAGTAAATTATAGTGACTATATTATTTAAAATATATTTACAATATAAATTTTTCTACGCTAGTTTTAGGAAACACTGCACTGCATGTCGTAAAGCAACATAATGCATTAGCATACATTGGATGTCAAACCGAGTCTTTTGTGAGTAAATAACTTGGTTTGAAATCTAAATATATGAAATTTACCCAGGATTGCCAACCGCTCTGTAGCTCAGTTAGTTCAGGGATGAGGCTCGAAATAGGTTCCGGGACGTCTAAGTTCTGTATATTCATCTTAAAACTAGGTTCGATTCCCATTTGGAGTAATATCTCTCAAATAAAAGCAAAAACGTCTATTTTATTCCAAAAAGATTATTAAAAAAAAATTATTTAAAAAAAAAATTATTTGTTAAATAAATTTTATAATATATTCTGTTAACATTTTCATCATTAACAGTAGACGTCTGAATGGCAAAATTATCGTTTTGAAGTTTTCTGCTCAGCCTTGATAATGAAACTTAAATTGCCTATAAATACTCGAATTTAGCAACGATTTAAAATGGAGAGCACCATGGTTACACGATAAAATTTGCCAGCCGTCAAAAATAGAAAGTTTGCGCGAACGCGCTCTCAAAGTAAATGCAAAAATAAGATCACGGTAGTTTAAATATCAAGTTTTTCAAATTTGCCGCCAATTTTGGTACTAGAGAACTCTGTATTAAGATTTTCGTGCGATCAAGAATTTCTCTTTAATGTGCAGACTTTCTTTTGAGATATCTAAAATTTGATTCAGTAAGCTAGAAGTACTCTGCTTTATAGTACCATGCAGTCTACCGAAGAAAAAAAGAAAATCATTTTTCTCCATTTTTTCGGCATCCAAGTATCAGTAAACAATTTTACTCGCGGGGCCTAGCAGCATCGGCAGCCACATGGTGTACGTGTGTGTGTGGATTTATTTCGCGACCCACTTACGGCTACACGAAGGCGCGTGTGTATACCTATGTATATGTAAAATCGCTCGAGTAAGAGCCTTTCTCCTATGGTTACACTCAAACGCGCGCACGTCATGCAAAACCGATTCATGGGCTCTCGTGCGTGTGCCTTTGCACGTGTGTATGTGTAAGTGTATAAGTGTATATGCGTGTTTGTGAGTTTACGCGCGTGTTCAAGTGTATTATATATATTCGTGAATCCTGTGCGCGCGAGCATTTACGTGTATTAATATGTGTTGGTATGCGTCAAACATCTCTTACGTACTATAATGGTGAGTTCTCCATCGAGATTTGAAGACGATCAAGATAGTCGATGATAGCTGGTTTTGATTGAAAAAAATAGAGATACACTTTGTTTTACGGATAAATTTATTTCAATGTCCAAAAATTACAAAGCAAACTCAATGAAGCTTGATGGTACCGCGAAGGATCTTCTCGAAGGCCTCGAGATAGGCCTCGACGGTGAAGAGCTCGAGGCGTAGATCCTCTCGGGCCTGCGTCCTCATTGCCTCTTTCTCTATCGGCGACTCGTAGTAGTCGATTCGCTCCTGCCAGTACGAGACCAGGTACATAACCTGGAGCTCCTTCTCGCTGGTCATATCGTCGTAATACTCTCTGATCGCGGCCAGCACTTTCGGCTCGAACTCGGCGGCTGCCCCAGATTTTTTCAGATCCTCGTAAAACGCGTCGAATGATACCTTGACTCTGCTGTCCAGAGCCTCGACTCGTTTCGACAATTGTTCGTAGCTCTGCTGCCTCTCCTCCTCGCTCAGATTCATCAAACGATCCTGCACCGCTCCGAAGACGTACGCCTCGACCGCGTTATTCACCTGCGACGATAACGTGGCAATTTTAGAATTCGAGCGCAGAAATTGCGCGGTAAAAAAATTATATCGAAATTGGGCTGATTCTTACCGCTCTGTGGTTGGGGTCGACGGGAGGTCTCGATTGCACCGCGGTGCATACGAACACGATCAACAAAGCGACTCGGCTGACGTAGGTGAACATCTTGTTTCGGTTGTTGCTCTCAACTCTGAAAATCAAAAGTTCGATTCGGCAAATATATACACCCGCGGCAAACTTTAATCAGTAATCAAATACATATAAGTGATAAATATATTTGCCAATCGCTAATCGCTCGGTCTAATTTGCAGTTGATGGCTTTGCGCTTAACAACGCGTATATCTATAGCCAGTAGGAGGTCGTCACATCAGCTTCGTCGTAGAGGAGTTACAAAAAAAAAATTATTTTTCCATTGGCTGGTTTTGGCGTGACGAATATAATAAAAATAATAATGCACAGTGCAGTCGACGTCGTTCATAAAGTCGTGAGCGCCTTTATTTTTATGATATATATATCGCAGTCACGACGATTTCACTTCGCGAAGATCTGCTGCACTAACTCCGGTGCATAATAATGTCCATTTTGTTGCTGCGAGGAAAATGCAAATCGATCCCCTGTAAACTAAAAAGCCATAGAATCGTTAAATACTTGTTACGCCTTTAATCGCTCCATTAGAAACGAAGGCAGAAATGAGAAACAATTTTTCGGTCGTCAAAAACGCTTTGAACCCATAATGATAACATTGATCATTAGCACACATTGTAAAGTGTCGTATCGTAAAAACCCGTAAGATGTTAATGTTTCATTGAAAAAAAACGTCGATTAACGCGCAGTTTTTTAATTATAAAAATTGTACCGTTTTTTTCAAAAGAAATGGCCTCGATAGTCACGCATGCAGGTACCTATATATCCATACGAAAAATATACATTTTTTCATAGTCATTTCTTTTCATTTTTTTTTGCTACAACGAATACAACATCCAGCACGTGGTTAAGCGAGAGAGGGACAGAAAAGTAACTCATAACTTTGAGCGTGTTCGCTACTGGCTTCTTGGCTTCGGCGCGCTGGTGAAAGTAATACTTATCCCCCGAAGAAAGAGAGAGAGAGAGAAAGAAAAAAAATGCATGAGCATGTGGAGCAGCAAAACTACGTCACAGCCTTAGAGCTCCAAGCGCTTCTTTTAACTCTTCTCGAGCCGGCGCGCATACCTGTATGGAATTTTCAGTAATTCATTTTGTTTTTATCTTCGACAGTATGACGTATATTGTATGGCTGTTGGAGCTTCTTCTTCGTTAATTCCCTACTATATGTAGCGGCTAAAAACATAGCTTCAATAGACATTGTGTGACAAAAGGCACACACATTTTATACCGATCTAAGGCATCTCTTAATTAAAGATTCATCATTATCGGTCAAAATACCTGGTGGCGTGTATGTACGTTCATTACACTGGATCTAATTAAAAATTCACGATCAGATACCTGCCCATAAAAGGTATTGAGCCGAGGGAATGACTTCTTGGAAAAGATCTAGCTGTCCAAATACTCCGAAGACTGATATAAACTCGTATTCATTAATCCACTTGCCTCATGACAAGGAGCAGCAGCAACAGCAGCAGAGATTTTCGTCGTAGGGGAGACGGACCATATAAGCACCTACGTATAAGGAAGGGAGGACCGCCGTTAATTTATATACACGCGGTTATATTATAACGTCCTTGTCTCTCGATGCCCCGGTGTATTGCTTGCGTACGTGTGTACGTGTGTAAGTGTGTTCGGGTTTCGATGTGCCTTTAAAATGTAGGTCAGCAAACAAGGTCCCGCGATGCGGATGAAAGAGAAAGACTTGGAGCGAGTCGTGTCGTTTGCTGCTTCGGCTTCGGCGCGAGAAAGGATCGGGTTCGCGTGGAATATATATAGCTATATACAAGCCAAGCTGAGAGAGCTTTCGGGGATTTTAGGTTAGATGCAGTGGAGATATTGCGATCGGCTGGCAGTACTTAAAGGTGCGCGCCATAGAGATATTCGCCGATACTTTTTTTTTCTCTTTTCAAAGCTAAAAATCAGAGGTCAAAGTTTATGTACGATGAAATCTATTGCGCTGCGCGCTACGAAGGCTATTTATGAATCCGCGAGCGAGCAAAAAAGCCATCGACAAGCATCGACGATATATCTCTCTGTATATACAGACTACTAAATGGCTTGTCCTCGCGATTGAACACGCTGTTGTCTCTTCTTATGTGTACATTATATTACTTTATCTTCGACGCGACTTTTTTGCGCCATATAATATAAGTTAGTTTGTGTCATTAGTTTATGCTACTTGCTTGCTAGCAGTGCGGACTCCGTTTCTTCTCTCTCTCGCTCGTTGCTCTCTGCAGTACTGCCGCGCTTGACCGCGATTAAGACCTCTCGGCGCGCGCGCGGCGATATATATTTTTCCCCTTGCTAGGATATATATATATAATATAAAACGATTTTATTCCGCTGCGCTTATAGACTCATTACGTAGCTTTATTTATTTTATGCTCGCGGTTTTTTTGTATTATTCTCATTGTGTGTTTTCTTTCGTCTCTGGCAGAAACGAGGAAGGATAAATGAGGTGTTACAAATAAATCGGTACGAGATCGTTATGATCGGCAACGTCGACTTTTCGTTTTTATTTACATACACTCGCATTACAATCATGTGTTATCTATCGATTGTGCGAATTCGATGCGAGAAATCGTCATATCGCGTATACATAACGTAGGTCGCATAAATTTATGCTAAAATCTTTCGAACATCATCCGATGTCTCCTCGCTCACATAGTAGTAGTACGAGGCGCTGCACGTTTCGGTGTACATACGTACGTACGTACGTACATCAACATATTTACACGCTCAAAGTGTGTCACGATATGTACAAGCTCGAGCAGCCGAGCCGAGAGAGACAGAGACAGAGACAGAGAGAAGCACAAAGTGGCACGCGAAACGTTCGCCAAAGGAACGGGTATGGCATAAGTATACCATTGGCGTACTACATGCAGCAGCAGCATGGAGGTATTGCTCGTATAGAGTCGCCCCTCTCACCTCCTCCTCCTCCTCTTCCTCCCTGGTGGCTCGTTCCCATTTAGCGAAAGACTTTCTTCTGCGCGCCAGCCGAGTTGCTGCTGCTGCTGCTGCCGCTGCTCTCGAAAGCAGCTCGCGCGCATTGCTACTGTTTTTTTTTCATTCGTTTTTTTTTCTTTATTTTTTTTTTTTTTTTGCAACAACGACTACGACGACGACGACGAGAAAGATTGTAGTTATAGCTCGAGCGAACGAGCCAGGAGGAGGGCTTAGAACAATAGTCTATGGTGCAGCCCCATGTTGAGATATAAGGAAGGAGAAGCATGGCTATAGAGAAAGACACAAGACGATGCGTGCGTACGTGCGAGTTTATAAACCTTCGCGCGCGATATACGAGGAGATATTTTTAGACCTTGATACAAGGATTATAATCTGTATATATGGTTATAATAAAGAATTTACGTCAAGTTACGACTCCGTACATTTTCTATTCTATCTATTATAAAATCGGTAACGTTCGGGAATTTAATGATCATTAATGGAATCCCGTGCGAACTCACTATGAACTCCGAAATGTGGTACCTGTTAATCGGATTCTAAGACTCGATACATTGAAATATAAATTCGATTGTTGGCCAGGGCCTTCCCGTCCGCCAGCCGGGGGCCTTGCGCGAGCTGGTCAAACGGGTCGCGCGCGCGCGCAAAATTTTTCATTGCCAATCTGGGTCGATGATCCGAAATCCTCGTATACTATACGAGGCACACACACACTTGCTCGCACAAACTCTGCGTTGTGTGTGTGTTCCGTTAACTCTATATGCCTATATATAACAGTAATTCTCTCTTGCCGAAAAATATTTTGGTCAAGTCTATTCACCTTACATAGTGCGTAGGCCCGGTGCGCGCGATATTATGCTTATACATATTTACACAGCGAAGCAACGAGGCCCCGGGTATTGAAATATACATGTACGTGCTTATTCAGGCAGGCAGCAAGTGCTATAAACCGTTTTCGGAGTCGATCGTTAATGTATGGGCCTCGTGCGTGAGATTACAATTGTAATGTAAATGCAAGGCTTACGATATGGCTATATCGTTAGAAAAAATCACGTCACAGCAACGTAGATTCTTTAAATCGATCGGAATTCGTAGGCGGACACGTCAATCATTGGGCAATAAAATTTACCTTCTTGCATTGACTGCTATCTTTATGATACTAGCTAATGGCTATATTCGACCTGCTGCTACCCGAAAGGTGTGAAATGGTAGGAAAAAATTCTCATGAAATAATTTAAACAGAGCAGAGCATAGCAGCAGTAGTAACAGATGAAGTCTTATTCGACGTGGCAAAGACGCAAACTTTTTGAAGAAAACCGAACTCGTTTATTTAAAAGGAATATACCGTTCCGTGCGTTTATGTCTGTGTATGTGCGTGTGTACTTTGCATGATCTTTCGTTTCAACTAGTAGGTGCGCGCAAGCGAGCGATCGTTATATATGTACACAATATACAATACGTACGATGATATTCAAAAATTTTTTTCTCAAGTACCGACGTATTCTCCAAATGCTATACTTTATAAACGGAAAAAATAACAGTATTTACACAAACTGCTGTACAATTAATGAATGAGTAAATTATTACGTCAGATATACACTAAAACTTTGTTATTTTTCATTTACAGAATTCTCGCAAGCTGTTCGCTCAGATATGCTCTCCGCGCGACATCACCGGCCAATAATGAGGTGCACAGGATCATTTCATACGCATGGATATGATAGCGACACATCCTTTTTTCTTTCAGTTTTTTAGTATGCCAGCTATGAATTTTAAGAAAATGTCAAAATCGTGAGTAAAGTATGGTTAAATCGTTACACTCATTTTTCGGATTCATCTGAGCAAAAAATAACATCTTCGTTTGAGCCGGCTCCTCCGAGGCTCACGAAAGAAAATATTAATTTCTGCTGAGGTGAGCACGAAAAATAAGTATAATTAGCGCCGCGGGAATTAATGAATGACTATTTCTAAGGATCACGTGTATGTTGGAAATCGATCAGGTGAGGTTGTCAAACAGGTGATCGTTAAAAATATTCTTTCTTAATTCCCCAGGCTCGCACATTTTGTTTGCATGTATGGTAGAAGTAGTGTTTGCATGAGTAGTATATGAAGTAATTGTTTGTGTGAGTTTGTATTTAGCTTTTTTTGTGCTTGCTTTGTTGTAAGTACGTAGTATTACAGCTGTACAAGAAATGCATAATGAAGTTCAATAAGAGAAGAAAACTATGTAAAAATCTGTAATTATTAAACGTTAAATGAAAAATCGTTTGTATCGTCTCTTTGAAGTAAAAAAGGAGTATTTAAAGAAAAATGTAAAGGACAGTTTAAAGTAATACGTTTTAAAGAGGAATAATCGCAGATTAAAGTTAAACGTTAAAATTGCCTTTTCATTAGACTCCGAGTTTTATATTCCTATTTCATTTCAAAGCGACGATACCATAGATTATTTTGGAAGAGTTGATAGGACAGGATAAAGAGATTATATACATTAGAAATAAAAGCATTCAAGTTGGAGTGAGGTGTAAGTTTTTTAATTTGAGATTCTATTTATTAAGCCCTTTGAGTAGACATGTGGAACGATATCGTTATACTAGAGAATGTCATTTTTATAACATTATAAATTTGTAACTTAAGAAAGTGAAAAATAAAGTTACAGACTCTCTTTAAAAATAATTCGTCATTTTGTCAGCATTCCCATATTATACAGCATCCAATGTATCCTCGTTTGGCATCCTCATCAGAGTCACTTATTGGCCCTTTATTTTTCAAACTTTTAACTCTCTCTCTTAACGCACGATCACAAAATAAAAGCAGCTTAAAATCTAGAATCTTGTTTAAAAATGTTTCACTCTTCACTCGTAGTGTGTAATGCATTCATCAGACTCTCGTTATATTAATTTATATATCCTTCTTTTCTTTTTCTTCCTCGAGTTCTTCCAAGACTCCTCTCTTTCGATACAAATATATAACATATATAAGCGTGCAACAAATGTGATCTCAATAATTCGAAACTTTTGTACGTATACGTATATAATGCTCTGTGTGTGTGTGTGTGTATGCGCCTGACCTCGAAATCCACTTCTCACTGAAGCGAGTGAAAGAAGCCGGAGCCACATTACATGGGTACTTTGTGAGTGAGCGAGTACGACGAGTGCACCCAATTCATTCGCATAATATAAGAATCTGTTTATGAGAGGTATACGTATGAGCCACATGCACACCACTCGCTTACACACACACATAAATTCGTTTTCACCATATAGAAATTAATATACGAGCAAACGCAAAAAAAAACAATTAGTTGTCGATTCAAATTATTTATCTTAAATAGTCACTTGATAATACTAAAAATTGCGTAACATACTTTTTTATTTCGTTATTTCTCATTCGTAAATTGAACACGATCGCGATCATATTTTTTTCCAGTCAAAAGTAACCAGTCGTTAAAATTTTGTCAGTGTCGCGAATGGATGAGAAGGTATGTATTTCTTATATAGACGGTATTAGAATAATAGTCGAACCATTTCAGTCTATCGATGTCCATGTTTTTTTTTTATTAGGCTATCTTTTGATCAATTTTTTTTTATAATTCATTATCTCGTGATTGCGATTTTTTTCGTAACATTTTTTGGGTCATTTTAACAAACATTTCCTTACACTAAAGTACAGCTACAGCGATGAAGTATGACTAAATAAATATTACGCTAATAGATATTTTTTACAATAAAATTTTCTCATTCACTTATTCAATAATTATCATCATCATTATCATATTCTTCAATATTAATTCAGTTCATAGGGGGGCTATAGGGTTTTTTGTTGTCGCCTATATCTTGAGCACATTATAAATTGAACAAAATATCGTATTAATGATAAAAAAAAGTCATAGTCACGCGTGTGTGAAGCCTATCTAGAGATGATATTGGGATGCGATTATTCGAAGCGGTACTATTTTGTTTTAAATTTACAACTATTAAAAACAAGATTTATATATATGACGTCATTTACATATATACAAACTATATCGATAAATTGTGGATAACTGGCCAACGCTAAATTGGCCACGAACCAAGCAAAATACAAAATATTAATTATTATCAATCATTTTATCATTATTAGAATTTCGAGTCGGTAACGTCCCGTCTGCGGACATTTGTCGGACGTTGCTTTATTTCATCATCGTTCATTTTACTTTAGGATCGGTGCGCCTGTATGAGACAGATAGTCACGATAACGTACCCGGCGCTCGTCCAACACCTCCCTTGTTGCTCCTCCTACAAGTTAACGGGTGTGCGTGTGTGTGTATGTGCGTTGAAAAATCAGATTTTTTATTCAGAAGAATCGATTCGTAAGTTGAGATCTCGTCGACGGGAGCTTTGCTCGGGGACGCGCGCGCAGTCTTCGCGTTCTGTATGTATGTATATCGATCATTATTTTTGTTTCATCATGTTATATACAACGAGTGGACAGTGCAGAGAGAGCGAGAGCTCGCGCGCCCCGCGCCCGAGCGATACTGAGATGTACTATATTCTTGAATCACGATCACAATTTTAGCTTAATAAAAACAAAAGAAAAACCACAAGACCGCGGTAAAGCGCGACTGCCGTTCACTCTCGGCCGTGTCTCTTGTGGATCTGCTGGTGCTTGATGAGATGGGCCTTCTGACGGAAGTTCTTGGAGCAGGTCTCGCACTTGAAGGGCTTGTCCCCGGTGTGGGTCCGCAGGTGGACCTTGATGTTGCTCTTGTTGAGGAAGCCGCGCTGGCAGACCGGGCACTTGTGGAAGGGCCTCTCCTTGCCCTGAGGCGTCAAGCCACCAGCACCGTAAGGGCTGTTGAGGGCCTCCGCGGTAGACAGGCAACTTGCGCTGCCGCTGTTGTTGGCGCCGCCCTTCTTGCCGCCTTTCGAGCGCTTGCGCCCGCTGCCCACGCCGACGTTGCCCATCGACGAGTGCAGCTCCTGGGGGCTCTCGGACGTCGAGACGCAGCCGACTCCGCCACCACCGCCGAGCGGGCTCAGTGTGCTGGTGGACGTGGGGGCCTCGCTCATGTTCGACTGTTGCAAGCGCTGCTGCAGCAGGGGCGCGTACGTGTGTATCGTCGGCAGTTGTTGCTGCTGTTGCTGGTGCTGGGCCATGTAGGCCATGTCCGGATCGAGCCACTCGTCGTCCATGGGGCCGGGGCCCCACGGATGCTGCGCCCCCTCGGAGACGATGGCGGTCTGCAACGCGTGAGGGACCTGCCCTTGTTGCTGTTGACCGACCGGGGTCGCCGGGCCGTTGGACGCGGAATTGCCGTTGCTCAGAATCTGGCTGGTCGTGGTATCGGCCATAGCCGAGCCGAGCAGCTCCGCAAAGTCAAAGTAACCCGAGAGATCCGCCGCGAAGGCGGAGTTCTTGTTACGTTGAATCTGCGGGCCGTTGGCCATGCTCTGCTGATGATTGCCCACGTCGACCGAAGTCGAGCTGACTATGTTGTGGTCGTAGAACTCGAGGGCCTCCGATGGCGAGGCGTTGGGCAGCTGGGCCTGCTGCGGCTGCTGCGGGTGCTGTATCTGCGGATGGGGATCCTGATTGTGGTAGTCGAGGCGTCCGGCGTTTCTGAAGCCTGTGAAGGGCGGCAGCTGGCCCATCGTCTTCAGCTCGACGAGGGTCTGATCGTTGCCGCTGCCGTCGCCCGTGGGCGTCACCTGCTCCGCGAACTGCGAAAGGAGCTCCCAGTTCTCGGCCGTTATTTCCGACGCGCTCGTAGGATTGTCCGACCACATGAGATCGTCCTCGTTGTGGATCCTCTGTTGTTGCTGCTGCTGTTGCTGCTGCTGCGGAGACTCGTGCATGCCGTTGCTGTGCTGGGGCGGCTGCGTCGTCGGCTCATACTTAACACTGACCGCCTCGTGGGGGGCGCTGTGCTGTATGGGCGACAGCGGGGTCGCGCCCAGCAGCATGCCGTCCTGCTGATGACCGCTGCCGCTGTTGCTGTTGCCGTTGCCGTTGCTGTTGTTGCCGTTGTTGGGGCTGTGATTGCTGCCGTTGTCATTGCCGGCGCTTAGTAGGGAGTTGAGTAGGGAGCCCGGGTTCTGCTGGCCGCCCTGCGAGCGCGCCTGATTGTAGATATTCTGCTGCTGCTGCTGTATCGTCAGGCTGCCCGTGACGAACTGGCCCGCGCGCATTGACGTATTGTACATCAAATTCGAGTGGATCTGCTGCTGCTGCTGCTGATAAATGTTATTCTGATTGCTGCTGTTGTTGGGGTTGGACTGCGTCATGTGAAGTCTTGAGTTAGCCGGATGCTGCTGATTCGTAGGGGCCCGCGCTAGGGCCTGCATATCAGTGGTTGGGCTCTGGCCTCCAACAGTGGGTGAGCACAGCGGAGTCAGTCTCCTCTTGACGCTGTCTTGGGGTGACGGCTGCGCCGGCGGCGGCTGACGCTGCTGTGGCTTCTTGCCGGTGCTTCTGTCGTATATCGGCGCGTAAGGCGGCAGTGATCTGGTGGGCTGATCCGAGCTGCTTTTTTTCCTTGGCTGCTGCTGCTGCTGTTGCTGCTGCTGCTGCTGTTGCTGCTGCTGTTGCTGCTGCTGCTGATTTGGTGGCAACTCGGGACGATCTTCGAACTTGGCAGGAGTGCTAGGCTCGTCCTGGATTTGGCACTGATTCTGCGGCTGCTGCTGCTGCTTGTTGGGTGGGGGTGGTGGTTGCTGAGGCTGCTGCTGCTGCTTGCGCTCCGGAGACCAAGGCTCATCTTTGATAACCGTCTTCCAGCCGTCGTGATACTCAGAACCTTGAAACAAAAGGAACAAAATTGGCCGGACAAAAATCCCATTAACAAGTAAATTGAGTGAGATCTTATTCTAGCGCGACTTTATTAAAAAATATTCAAAAAAAAAAAAAAAAAAATAGAATCCAAAAGTGCATTTTTTTTTGTTTTTATTACCTCTGTGTACTTTTGTTAATGAGACACGTGACTATAGTAACTTTGTTAGTAAGGCGAATGTCTCAAGTCGCGGAGGCACAGCTTACACACACACACATACACATTTATAATACAGCAGTGTATGGAGTCCCATGGCGGAGCGCGCAAAAGAAAGAGGAGCGAGCTCGAGCGCGAAACTGGGTTAGTAACACGATCGCCTTAATTCTCGTTGCCGCAGCAGCAGCAACAAGTGCTACACGCGCGTTTGTTGTAAAAAAGAAGGAAGCAAAAAGATGATAAATAAAAGAGCAGTAGTCTCTGGCGCGAGCGAACGCATTTTCTTCTCGACGTTCGCGGGCTCAAAAATTGTACGAATCCAAAAAAATGCTAATTACACGTCCACCGTCTAGAGCTCGTTTTCTCGTAATGTCACGTTTTTCGATGTCGAGCTGTGCAGTCAAAGACCCGGACGACGGTTTTATACATATAGTAGTAGTATAGAGCGATGGCCTATATTTAAAAACCTGAATTTAAGCGTAAATTTAGATGTGAATTTTTAATTCGTACGTTACGTTTATGGACTCGGTAATGGACCCGTATATGGAATGGACGATGGACCTTTTAGGGAGAATTTCTGATCGTTAACGCGATTTAATTGGCCCACTGTACCTGACAAATATAAAGCCATTATAAGCCATTCGAAATATGTATAATCTCGAGAATCTGGATTTGTCCAAAAGCATTAACCGTTGGCGTTTAGATGGAATAAATTTACCGTAAATCAATGTGTCATCGTGAATGATCACGGCAGAAGCTGTGTAGAAGTCGCAGCGCGAGTAAATTATAGAGCCGCGCGAGAGAACCTGCAGCATCGCGCGATCCGAGGCTATATTATATACAACTTTTTTAGTTTATTCAGGCGTCCATATAGAGCGAGCGCGGGAGAATCAGTCGCCGCTGACTCCGCTACCGCAGAGTCAAGTTCAAGCATCGACTCATCGGTTATACGCTCGAACCTTGAACTTGACAATGACTGAGCGCCGCAGCACTACACGGGGCTATTGACATATATAGCAGCGCGAGAGAGAGACAATCGGAGCTCGGCGCACCAGATAAAATGTACATAGCCGATGCCCCTCCTTTTTTCCCCCTGGAATATATATATCGGGACGAGCCTTTTTTCTCTCGTGAAGCTATGAGTTTAATTCTTTTGTTTTCGGATAAATTGTTGGAATTGGGCTGCTCAATTTTATATTTAACGCGTATACACATGACCGATTCTTATCAGATCGCTAGTAATTCGCTAGCTAATGAAAAATTCAAGTTTTAATTACATTGTCTTAGCCGAGATGATCGAGTGCATTTCGTGCTCACAGCCGAATTAAGATGTGCCTTTATTTGAAAATTCAAACGGAGGAGCTCGCTCAAAAACGTGAAAAATAAGTGTAATCCGTCTCTGTACCGAACGCCCATGAACGACAAAGTCGACGCGAGACACAGCGTGAGAGAGAGAGAGAGAGACGTGGTAGGGGAGAAGGAGGAGGGGACTACCTCGTGTGACGTAGTTTCGATCCCGTTATGCCTCACGTATTCACACACACACGTATACTATAACTCTGTATACGTATACTCTCAGTGAGTTTTGCTCGATGATGCTGCTGTATACACACGACAATAATAATAATCGTCCCACGCGCTATGTATAACTTGTCGTTGGCGCGCGCGGAAAAAAACAACCTCGCGCAGAGCACATGCCTAAGTTGTAAGTACGACGGAGGCTGATTGAACGTATTGATTTTACATTATAATACACCGTGGGATCTTTACGTTTTATAATTACGATGTGTGTGTTCAAGGTTGCTGCAGCGACGGCAGCAAGAGAGACCCATTAGAACGAAGAAACGTGCGCGGAGTTATGCGCGCTTCCGAAGATTTCGGCATTCCTCTTAACTCGGAGTAAACACACACGAACGTACGAGCGAATGCCTGCAATTAATTCATCGAAACGTAGCGTACTACGAAACATCGTTACTGTTCACGCGGACCGTTGGTAGAACAAATGTTTGCTTAATGTACACATGGAAAGTAGTTTCAGGAAGCGAAGATCGTAATTTTTTTTTCGGCCTCTAATGGTTGTTATTGTTGTTGTTGTTGTTGTTTTAACGGCTGTAATTGTCACGACGAATTGTACCGAAAACAGAGTACAAACGCGCTCGAGCGAAGATCGGCACACCTTTCGTCTTAAATACCGGAGAGAAGCTATTAAGAATCGAAACGTTTGCTCCGCGGCTAGTTCGGAAGGAGTTCTGCCGAATAATGCAAGGCCACACATAGAGGTAAAAGAACCGCTAGAAAAAAAGCTCAACCGTCGCGTAGGAGCAGAAAATGATATTGATATGTATTTTGTAAAGGTGGCATAACGCGTAAGTAAGCAGGTCACCCCCGCGAAATCGGAAGGAGCGCGACGCGTTCTCATTCATTAAGCAAAGATCGCGACGAGCTTTTGTGTTTATGTATATGTGCGTCTTGCGGGTTTTGTATATGATGTATACGCGAGCGTAAAATAAAGAGAAGAAAGAAGCGTGGTACATCTTCCGGTTTGGCGGAAACGTCTTTGAAAAGAAAGAGAAAGAGCGAGCTCGTTTTTTATTCTCATGTCCTGTAATGGTGGTGGTGGTGGTGGCTAGTGCACGCCGCCGCCGAGAGCACAAGTAGTAGCACATGTGTGCAGTGTATGTATACGTATATATTTAGCAATGATAAGTAGAACGGGGTACCGTTAGCCAGTGCCGTCGTTCGAGCGAACGAGCCAGTTTACGTGTTATGTGCTGCGCTGCAGCGCTGCAGGAGACTCGACTCGAGCTTTCCTTTTCGTTACGAAAAATTTGCCATTGCCGGCAGGCAGGCGCAGGCTGGCCTGTGTATGTATATAATGTGCATGTTGTGTACGTGTGTGTAAGTCTGTGTTCGCGTTCGATTCGCAGACTCGAGCGCGCGACCTCGTTACAATATATGTATATGTATCGTGTGTATAGACCCTGCGGGACCACTGACAGAGAAGAGATTCACTTCCACTTCCGCTTTTTCGCCACTGCGCGTCGTGATCGCGCTGCAGTGTGCTCTGGACGCTCCTCGTCGCACGCATACACACACACATTTTTTCCTTGATTCTATGCGTAATGATCTTTACCTCTTCTTAGGATGAAGTCCTGCCCCGCTGTACTGACGATGATAATGCGAGCGAGAGAGCGAGCGATCGTGCGTGTAGGAAGAAGGCAACTCTAAACGCGTTTCGAGCGTGTAGGACGACGACTTACGCTACACAGAATGAGGGCTGCTATCTCGTACTACTGTAACGGTAAAACTAGAATCATAAAGATTAATTTTAGGATTTGTTTTCTTTTTAAGCCAATATTAATCAAACGCTATAAACTACTACTGCTACGTTTTTTTAAAGCTGAATATTATACCGAAGCAATGGAGCACTGGGGACTTCAATGCCAGCACTAAACATGATGAGCCCAGATAGATAGATAGATAAGGAGACTATGACATAGTGCCCTGGTCGAAGATACAATTCTACGTCTCGGAGATAGAGCACAAGAAAACCAAACAGACGAGCCAAGCAAACAATGATCGATCGAATTATATATATGATTTAATCTGATCACTCGAATTTTCCCGTGACGATTTAATCACAATAATAATAGCCTCGAGGTTTTATTGTCTCTACACTGGATAAAATTCAAGCACAAAATACAAAAAAAAAAAGAAGCACCGAACCAACTATAAATAAGGAAAGAGAAAGTCGTATAACGTGGCCAGAGGAATGAGCGCGAGAAAACTTATATGGGCGCGCGCGCGGGAAGCGCCAGCGTACTCAGCTTTGCGCACAGAAACGCAGAAAAACATTATCGAATTTTGCATTACATTTGAAATTGAAGCGTGTGGGTGTAATACCCTCTCGGTGCGAATAGAAAGTAAATGCATGTCCACTAATGATACCGATACTAAAACATACAGAGATACTAAAAAATTTTTTTAGTATTTACATTTATAAGAGTGGAGGTGAAAAAGAATGAAAAAAATAGAATCAGGCGAGAAGAAACGTGATCGAACTTGCACAAGCTCCGAAATAAATGATCCTCTTTTTTCCTTTCTTTTTGTTGTTGCTGTTGTTATTATCGTTGCATTAAAGCATCATCCGCATCGCTCGAGGATGATAAACGATTCGCGCGCTGGCCGAACGACGTGCCGCTGTGCGCTCTGTGCTCGACCTACATTTTCCGCGATAATGAGTCTGTTTTGTCGTTCGACTGCAGCAGTAGCAGCAGCGCGACGGACCCGTATTGTGTACAACAGGTACGCATACAAACATACACACGCAAAAGTAGTGGTGGCGGCTTAGATTACTCACGGTTCCGAGCAGGCATCTTTCGATCGGCGCTGTCTGCCCAGTTAAAAAACCCCCACCTGTCTGACTCGAAAAATCGGAGAAAGTCTGTGCTGCGGCTCGTCGCGGTAAATCGGGAAACCCGACTGAACAGAAGAAAAATACTTCTTCTGTTCTTTGAGTGGCTGCAACCCACAAGCTAGACAGCCGATGTATGAGAAAAGATTTTAGAACCGTGAAAAATACTAATTAATGAATCAAGCTGAGTATGCAATAGGTGTCTAATGATGGATTGATTGGTGGTATGACGTTTTTGTTGGAATCCATCATTATCCTCTTCGCAAGGTGTGATTTTCAAAAAAAGTTTGTACAGCCTTGTACACGTATGTCTATACGTGAACTGATATTCTACCGACGGACTGTACCCACACTTTCCTCGATAAAAAACAAATTAAAATGCGAACAATTGAAAAAGGATTAAACAACAGTTTTTTAATGAAATGCCCTAAGATTGCGAGCTCTTTTTGCCTCCGAATTTAAAAGACGCCAATTTATCAACTACTGGATGAAAAAAATTGTAATAATAAATTATGTGCCAAAATTACCTGAATGTGCGATTATGTTTTTTTTTTAATTTATACATGGGAAACGTCGCTCGCGGAACTACACAGAGCAGCAGCGCACGGGCTGTTTATCGCTCGCGGAAGCAACCGACTGCGAAGAAAGAGAGCTGCTTTTATCCCCTCTCAGCTACTTGGCTGCTGCTGCTGCTGCTGCTACATTATATTCGCGGTATACTGACCTACAATTTCTTTCTTTGCGTCCTATGGAATACTGATGGTGTACGCGTAGCCTTTTTCTTCCCTCCTCGCGCGCGCGCGCGCAAGTTACCTCCTTCCATGCACACACACACACACACACACACACACACACACGAGTATTATATACCCACTGGCGAATGTGACGCGGACCTTTCTCCGAGACGCGCGAGACGACGAGACGCGCGCCCGTCAAGAGCAGCCACAGCGAGCGGCGAAAGAGATGCGCAGCATCTCGGCATACGCTAGACGCGTATCCGTTTTGCCAACTTTTTCAATTGGGCCTTGACAGTGACAAGCGTAGTACGAGGACATATTGTGTTTCACTACTAGTTCGCGTCGCGCGACGCTAGTACTACCTCAGAATATGCTCGTTTTTCATTTTCCCCATGTATTTTGACCACTTTGGCACAAGCAGATTTAAATGTGGCATTGAGTGACTTGGATATTTTAAGACATTTGATCAAATCAGTTAGATGATGATATTTAGTCTGCTGGGAATTATTTTTTATCCAGAGTAAAGTCACGTGAGACTTGAGTAAAGCGAGCGACGATAAAAATGAGCTCTTTCATGCCGAAAAAATCTCCGTGTTCAGAAAGTCCATTCACAAACTTGGGTATCTTGATGAATTTTCATTTCTTTTCGTTGAAATCCAAGCTCTTAAACCAGATTAATAGCCGTATGAATTTACGAGGAAAATCTGATAAAAAGCATACGTTCGGATCTGCAAGCTTTTAGATTATCGTCCCAATTAAGCGGATGATCATTGAGAGGCAAATTCTACTGCTACCCCAAAAAAAAAATGCACTTTTAGATGAACCCGAAAAAAACCATACTCACTCGACTTTTCCGACGACTCCAGGTTCAATTCTGGAGCGTCGTTCTGTGGCGGCCGAATTTTGAAGCTGTATGGGGAACTGTGAGACAACAATCGAACCAACCGAACTTGATGGGTGTTTGACACTTGACGCTTTGTCGACGTTCACCGAACTAACAAAAAATTTTCTTGAGCACAGAGTACGAAGAAATCAGGATCACCAAATTTTTTGCGTAAACGTCGAAAAGTCGTCCGTCAAGTCCACTATTTTTTATTCGTCAGCTACTTCTTTTGCTTGTCACCACTGCTCTATATTAATTTTGCGACCGATCCTTTTTGCTCAAGTGTTGGGGAAACACTTCGACGATTGAAAGTTTGTCGAAGCGTCACACTGGTCTCCTGTATCACTCAATGTTTACGTATACCACACTGCCTTAATTAACCAATTTAGATACCATCCAAAGAGAGTAACAACAATAAACTTTATTTTAGTCCGCATACAATTTGTAAACATATTTTGACACTTCACAGTCTTGAACCAATAAATTTATTATTTAGTTCAAAATCACTTTTATAATTGACTCATACATTTTGAATTGAAAACGCATACGATTGTTACTGGGTAAATTCGACTCAACTCGATCCGAAATTAATTGCAAACAATTTTTTTTTGACGAGATCCGAACACTCGGTGTGCGCGCGCGCCCGAGTGTGCTGCTGGTATGAAAGGCACTAACAGAGATCACTGGTACGCGAAGAGCGGAGTTACCACTACTATAGTCGACGTAAGGCCCCACTACAAGGCCCCACAGATGTCAAGTAGGAGTCGCTTGGATCGTGCTTTCCGAGCAAGTGGCGAGTCACCAGTGTTCCTTATTTACGAAAAAAGTAGTCAGTACAGCCAATTGTTTCACTTATTTTTTTCAGGTTCATAGGAAAATTTGATTCCAGTCTACATGTCCGCAAATATTTTTTTGTTTAAACAAATTCAGCGATCAATTACTTGCAAAAAAGCTCTTTCAAATTTTTGCACGACTTCAATAATAGAGCATATTTTTCGTTTATATAATATTCAAAATATTGTTAATATATTGTTATTCTAAAAGTATGAAACTAGTTTCCAGTACAAACATGACAGTCTGCTAGTTTTTTTTTCGCTTACAGCGGGTAATACGAGATTCGAAGATGAATTTCATATAACTCATTTAGATATCATTTGGAAAACCCGGAAAAGCCAATTTCTCAAAATTATCGCAATATTCAAAATGGTAGAATCTAAAAAATACACTTTTCCCAAGAAATTTACCAAAAAATGTTCCAAAAATAGTAGAGGCGTCATATCACGTGTATGAGGGTGTTTCATTTTTCACCCGTGTAAGAAATAGTATTTTTTCCATCCCCGCGCAAAAGTTTTCATAAAATTATCCAAATAGATTCAAAATAAAAAAATTAATTCAAGATTTCAATGCACATACGGACTTGCATTTGTTTTTTCTTTCGCATCAAGGTCTTGATTTGCCATCGGATTGTGCAGAAAACAAAGCGGTTATGGTTATTATTGACTTTTACATAAAATCAGTTACATGCGATGCGAATTCTTTTCCTTCACTTTTAGCATTGTGAGCGTAGCAAGTCATACTAAACTTTAAAATACGACTCTGTAATTACGATTCGAATTTTGATGCTCGCCCCGACATCAGCATCACGAGCGAAGCGAGTAACTTTAATATAGAATATAGAGCAGAATAACTTTAATATAAAAAACAGTTTTTCATTTTGACTTGTGTGTAACAAGTTACACACAACATTCTTTCTCGACCGTAGACATACCATCATGCGCGAATGATATTTCAGGACTCTGCATAAGTTTAACCACGTAATAAGTACATCTCTACGTATTGATGTGCCTCCGACAAATTGTAGGCTAAGTAATACGGGCGATAAAATTATTATCAATATTACGTTGCTAGGCTGAGCTAGCCACAGCAACCACTGCATCTGTCGAACACGCAAAAGTGGGCAAAAGTACTTCTTTTTCTAGGCTACGCGTACGGCAAAAGTAAATACTTTTGCCGGAAGGATGGAAAAAATGTACTTTTTTGTTCGAAAACGATCAACATTAGAAAAAAAAGTCATTGAATATTCAAAACCCACCTACAGTACTTTAAACTGTAGGTCATTATTCCACAATTTTAGGTATTATTGGCCACAGTTCAAGTCTCTTTCATAAAAAAAATTTGAATCAAAGTTTTTTTTCAAGATTCAAAATCATGTTTTTTATAACTGTTATAATATTTATCAGAGGTTAATTATAAACCCATATTCAAAAAGTACATTAAATTTTACATAGAAAATGAGTACTCAACAATTTTTCTCGCTCCGATAAGATGATTTAATTGCAGACTAAAATAGAGAAAAAAATTCTGTCCGTCTCGGAGTTAACGGGTCAAGAAGCCCAAATCTAACGCTTTTTTTTATGGATTTTGGGACTTCTTAAAAAGAGTGGTAGATGGTCCCAAAAATTCTGAAATAATTCAAGCAGATTCTTTGAGAAATTTTAAAACTTTTGATCGTAGCATTTTCTCATTTAAATACTTCTATATCGATATAGAAAATAACAACGATTTTTTTATAATGTGGAAAATCCTCTAAAAAATGGGCCCTAAGGCCCATTGGATCAAACTAAGCACAGAGAGCTTCAGTATTGGGTACCAAGAGACCGCAAAAAAATTTTGGATCAAATCCACGACCCGGACCTGAAAAGCTCTCCTTGTCAGTATTGAATTTATAATGATTTTTAATTTGCACCAATGTAACTGCTGCTACAAATCATCTTTTTTAAATTTTTCTTTTCAAATATAACGATGTAACGACGATTCACCTTCATAAAGCTCCACACGTAAAATTAAGGCAAACGGAAAGCGCTCCAGCTACCCTGTGCTATCGCTTCAGGCACTAGCATTATACTGCCGGTGCCAAGGTACCGAAAAACCACGACTCCTTTACCAGTCAATTAGGAGTTTTCAATTAATGTTAATAACAAGTAATTTGTTTATACAAAGTATTTAAAAATAAAATTGAGTAAAAATAATAACAAATTTGCGATTAGCAGCCGAAAAAACATTTCAAATGTGTGCCTCTCTCGTATTGTAGTCAATAAACTCGCTTTTAATAGATGAGTGAAAAATGTTTAATAAAATGAGTAAAAATGTGTTATTGTAAAAAATACTTATTTCAAACTTTCTAAATTATTTAAACATACTAGTTTTTTTCACGTTTTGATACTACGAAAAGTTTCGATTACTGAAAGGCACTTGTAATCAATAAATTTTGACTTCTCATCGGTAAATATAAGGTTAAAAGTATGATAAAAAAAGTATAATATGATAGAAATAAAATTAAAATGCGCGATAAATTAAAAAAAACCTTTTATTTTTCCTATTATGAACAAAGCAAGTAATCAAGTCTTTTTACTGAGTAGACCTTGAATCGCATTGATTTTGTCATTAATATTTTTGATATGATAATGTCTCACATAAAGTATAGAATCAATCGCTGCATTTTTAGCCCGAATCAGTTTATTCTTTAATAGTTCAGGATTGACTTTTTTAACTACTTGCAGATATCTGTCCCATTCTGCCAGTGATTTTTCAATGTATTGTATTCCACTGCTGGTCCAGAAAGGATAAAATCCTGGATATCTGCGATCTAATAATTCTATAATTTCTTTGGTAGTAAAATTGTCAAGATCTGGGTGAAACAATTTTTGTACTTTAATTCTTTCTTCTAAATTCTTCTTCAAAAAATCTCTAACCACCTTCAGGTCAGACTTTACACTCTCATATGTGCTGTCTTCGTATTCTTTTTGTCCTATCAATTTGTAAGCCGCCTAAAATTGAAAATTAATTGATAATTAATAACATTTTTTAAATTCTATTGTACTTTATATATTTTTATCTTACCCAGTCATTATTTAATTTCGGATCTATAGGATTCGCCGTCGAGATTGCGATAGCACAATAGCAAATGGCGATAGCTTTGATCCAGATTGGAAACGACGACATCATGAAATTGTGGTACTCGTTTGTCGCAAATTTCCCGAAGAAATAGCTTTATATAGAGTGCTGGTGCGGAAAGTTCATCGTGCTTTATCGCAAGTGTTTTTATCTGATTGGTCAAAGCCCAAATATTTACTGTAGTCAAGCGCGTCTCTTTGGACACGTTCGCTGGCACGGCCATTGATGCGGCCGTGTGTGCTCAGCATCAAAACATAAACGTTCTGATTTGCTAAGTAGATCAAACTGATTAAAAGTTTTTATCATGTTAATCATTATCTATTGATGTGTTGAATTGCATTCTCTTGAAACAGTAAATAGTATATTGCATGCCATAAAAATCATTTAATGTATATGAAGTAATTTACATATTCTCAGATTACATTTACTTTATCAAATTCTAATGTAATATTAATATGATACTCAATAAATTGAGTATATACTCCTATGATAAACTATCTCAAGAAATCAATCAAAACAAACACAGATATACTTCCGGTAGTTTTATCTGCATTGTCTGTGTACAGACGCACATAACTCGTACACAAGCAATTTCCGCATGAAACAGTCACAAATTAGAGTAATATTTGACTAGGCAAAAAAAAGGCATTAGAAGCGAGCGCCGATGATGATAATGACGGCGATACACAAGTACAACCGCTCCGAGTGCGCGTACTCGCCTTATACATACGTTTTATGTAACAACCATCGTTCTGACGTATGGTGCATTTTTTTTATGTACATATACTCGTACCCAAGTGGGTGCATCGAGCCGCGAGCACTTTTTTCGCAACAGCTCTCGCTGGCCACATCGAGTACAAGTTTTGTGTATATAACTTTTCCGTTTTTATATGTAAGCCGCCGTGCGGGCCGTCGCGCTTGTATTCTATATTTTCATCGTGTGCGCGCGCGCGTTACAAAAATAAAAAATTCGTACGCCGAAAAATACAGCAATAAGGGCGTAGAGATGCGCTGTTATTAACGAGACAATACAAGCTAACATATGTTATGGGCTGGACTGTCTATAATTAACATCTCATTATTAGTAGTGGCACCTTCAATGAAAAGTGCGACATTTCAGGTTTTTTCAATGGAAAACTGCGATATATAAATTTTAAATCGTCCTACTTCTCGTTACAGGTGCCGCTACAAATACACGATTGATGATTACTAACACACTGTGGGTATAGTACACTAGACCCAATCGAATTCTGTCCAGTGGAATGTGGAATATTGTATGCTCATACACGTTTCAATTCCTATTTCACCCGAAGATATGGACACAAGTAGATCGAACAAGTGTGCTGGGGGCGTATATTATATAATTTACACGGGAAGATAAAAATGATTCTTTACGGTATACTGTGAAAATTAGAAAATTGAGTGCTACAATGGGTGGAGACTAAAGATGTGCCGTGATTGGTTGAATGTCACGATGCCCATCGCCTGCGCCAAAATCAATGCGCATTACCATATCCCTCGACCAATGCCTATGCTTGATATAGAATTGAAACGTGCGTATAAGTATTTTAATTAAAGTTCAAAGAACTGAATCAGCTGACATTTTATGTATGTAAATTTGTCTCGCGCAGTATCGAGGCTTCACACAATATTAATTAAATAATTATCCAAAGTACCCTGTGAAAACTCGTATATTGATGTGAAAAGGTTGAAGGTCAAAACAAACTGACAAGTTCCCACCCTCGAAGAATTAAATAACAACAAAAATTTGTTTTAATTGAGAATCGCGTTCAATTCAAATGATAGTTTTATAATCGTTGAATTACGGTAAGACTCGCGCGAAATGGTACCCATTTCATCACGAATTCAGTCAACGACACATAGCCGTTAAGAAAAAAATATATATAACAATAATAATGAAAGAGCTACTCGAGAAAGGCTGTGTGCAAAAAAAAAGTAACGCTCGATATCTCGGACACGCGCTCGAGCCCGCGCGTTACACAAGTTTTCCGTGCTCGCTTGCACCCATACCGTATCACACTCGAATGCTGAATGAACGAAAAGTTAAAAAAAAAAAAGAGAAAGAAAATTATGAGCGAGCGCAGAGATGGTTTTATGTACATACATATACATACACACACGCGGAAACGTTGTAAGACTGTATCATGCGCGCACTACTGGCGCCGCGATCATTGTTATCATTATTATTACGAAACGATATAAGAACCAATTACTTACACTTGCACTATTGCGCGGTTACGCTCCGCTGGCGTATATTAACATGAGAGGAATGCAAATTTGAGTAACTATATTTGATTAGCATTGTAATGAAGTTTCCTTCGGCACGAGGCCTCGCAGTCGATCCCCAAAATGTTGCGATTTCGCCCGCGTGTGTGTGCGTACAGAAACGGATGGATGGGCAAACACCGACGCATATATTAAAGGAGTTCCGATCGTTTTTATGTCGTTATCATTTTAAGGTAAAGTTATTATTTTCCTTCGTTTGAAATAATGGGTTTTCTACGTATTAGTCGTTCATACGAAACAAAATATTTATAGAACGAGCCTTAAGTAAATTAATAACGAATCCTCTTTAATGAGGACCTTGCGTACGTACACAATGAGAAGTAAAATAAAATTACGAGCGGCAAAGTCCTATACCTCCTGATCCAAACAAACTACTTATACAATTATTTTTATTTTGCCGCTTACAGATTTATAGATGTAAAGGTACTCGCCATCTAGCGGGAAAGGCTTAAAGTGGAAATTAATTTTAAAATGAAAAAATACGTCTGAATTGAATCTCTTTGATAGATGTGATTTACTTATTGCTCTTATATGGGATCCATTACCGTAGCGCAACCACTTGTATGAAGCCCATAATCACTCAATAATTCTGCCGGGTGGAACAAAGAATTGGAACGTGTACACAAGCATAACGATTTCCGAAGTTCGATCCGACATAATTAACGGCCTTTTTAGAGTCAATTTCGGAAAAATTGAGGCCAGCGCAACAGTCGTCTTGAGGAGAAATGACAATCTTACTCATATATTAGTACTTGTTAGCATCCTAACCTAAAAATGAGTACTCTGCTGCTGTTTTTAAGCTCTTGAGCTATAAAATATTGTTATTATCATGTGAATAAGCTTTTTCAATAAAATTAGGGACAGCTCTATAACGCAACAATTGACTATTGTAAAGGTTTTCGATCCAGCCTAGAAACAACATTTTGAAAATGATGTCAAATTAAATTATACAAGATAGAACCGTATTCTGAAACCAAATGATGTTCATTCTTTTGCGAGACTAACTCACACCTACTATCAATCAATTGTTCATAATTCATAAATCGTATTTATCCACTTGTAGCTCTATTAATTTTTTTAAGTTTCCTGAAATATATTTTGGTGCCAAAACTTGGTATCTTTGTGTCACTGGTGTTGCTATTTGTTATGAAACTCGTTGCGGAGATGGTGCTCCTGATACAGATTCCGTTGCCGATCTCGTAACTCTCGTGCTGCTGTTCCGTTGGCCAAAGAAGCACGTGGACAGAATAGAATTTACATGGTCCTATTAGCCGTTTCTCCAATTGATTGAAGGGCAGTGGCAGTATTGGCTGCGCTTATAGGGCACCAGCTCTTCACTAAGGAGATTCGAGGGATCCGCTTCCAGCAATTGACAACAACTGAGCAGTAACCGTTGACGCATATCGCAACTAGTACCAAACTATTGATTCGGTGGTTTGAAGACATTCAAGAGAGTCAAGACTAGCACGAAGATTTTCAATATAATGCTGCGAGAAGTATTTTTAATTCAAATATTTTTGGTAAAAAAAAAGCGTAAAGGCACCAAGAGATCAAATCAATTGAAGTACCCAAAAAACCTAACCATTTGTGTTAGTTATAAACAACCGCAAATGAAAGATTCACTCAATTGTTTATTTTGTCCTCCCATGAAAAATGTTATCGCGACAGTCATGCGGTAGTAATAAACGTGCTGTGACAGCGATATTGGATAGTCAGACTGCGCAAAATTTTAAAAAGCTCGTATTTAATTTCATAATCTGTCAGGCTCTCGGAGCAAATCCGTCTCCTCTGCACATGGCCGCTTTGATGTTTCGTTCGGTTACCTTAAAAATTTCGGTTATTTTCGTGTTGTGGTCTGGATATTTTTGGCCCGATACATGCAGTTTTAGTAAAAATATGGATGATAGTTTTTACGTGTTTATGAATAAAAGATTATAAAAAAAAGTTATTTCTGGCATTTTTTTCGCCCTAGGAATATTAAATGAATTAAAAATCGTTAAAAGTAGCATTTGGAATATTAGTATATTACTGCCCTAGGCCGGGAAAAATAGAAAAGTCCCAGGGCACGTGAAATAAGCGACCGAGGCGAAGCCGAGGTCGATTAGCACGTGCACTGAGGCTTTCTTTTTTCCCGGTATAGGCCAGTATACGATTTTACGTATGCCGGGCCTGAAAATAGCAATCTCCCGTTTAGCGCAGCGGCCGGGAAATGCTACTTTCGGGCCGCTGGTACGTAAAATAGTATTTTTTGTTTCTTTCTAATGAACTCAAATACACAACTAGTTTCCTAACCAGCGAATTTTAGTTTTCAAAAATTCAATCGCTTTATTTTTCAAATAGAATAATATGATGCAAAATTACTTGTATCTAACTTCAATAGTTTACAAGATATGATCGCATAAATAATTTATTTATTTTTACTTTAAACAAAAAAACTTTTGTGAAAATTAACCTTGGAAAATCGATTCAGTGTATGAGAATGCGCATTGTAACGTTTTAAAACACTGTGAAGTCAAAGCACCGTAAAAAATCCAAAATAGTAACATAATATGAAAATTACAAATCTTATTTAACTTTTTAACTATCTTGTAAAATACAGCTGTGACTTGAGGCGAAAATCATTATGCACAAAGCGAGTAAGATCAAAGTCGACATTTTGAATAAAAACCATAAAACTTTCAACAATTTAGTCTAGGGGCCAGTGGGTCCACCATGGCCACGGGGTCTTTGATGGGCTCATCAAGGTTT